AAAAATATTTTATCATCACTAATTTTCCTGCAACAAATAATTCATTTTTTGTCCAGTCTTGCCAGCCCTAGAACAAACCATCTGCATCAAGACAATAATCATTCTTTCCATCTCATTAAAGACAGTATCACTAAATTAATGTGTTGCTCATCTCAAACAGAACTTAGATTTACAAAATATCTTTTTTAAATAGCTGGAAATCAATTCAAGATTCTAGGCCACATGTAAGTCCATCAATGTGAAATCCATTGTAATCTTTAAAATGTCTTATGATATGAGTATAAGGTTATATAAAAAAAACTATATAATTGTTTTTAATAGTATTAACTTTGCATATATATGAATATAATCTGCAACAAAGTGGATATATTTCAAAAATCGAAAGGCTAATATGTTATAACCATGGCACATAACATCTATCATATTGCAGCATACTGTCTTCTTTCTCAAAGAGAGCATATAAAATACAAAGAACACAAACTTATATATAAACCAAGTACAGTTAAAAATGTGGAAAATAAAGTTGCACCATGTGAATTTGAGCAGTGTTGTTCCAATGAATGAAGCCATGAAATCAGCAATTCTTATCACAATAATCTTACACTACTTTTTTCATAAAGCTCAGTAACATACAAGTTTGTATAGTGGGAATAGACTAACTGGTGTAAAAAATATCAGCACAAGTACCAACATAACTATTACACATCTAGGGATCATTCAAATAATGAAGAACTTAAAAACATGAACAAGCAACCCACCCTCATGGAAGGCAAAAGACAGAGCTTGCAATAATACTGTCTGCACAAACCAACATACAAATATGTGTGTGTGTGTGTGTGTGTGTGTGTGTGTGTGTGTGTGTGTGTGTGTGTGTGTGTGTGTGTGTGTGTGTGTGTGTGTGTGTGTGTGTGTGTGTGTGTGTGTGTGCGCATGCATGGATATGGGTGTGGGTGTGGAGAGGGGGGGGTATGGGTTGGTTCATATTTGAGCAGTGTGAGTGTGTGAGTGTGAGTGTGAGTGTGAGTGTGTGTGTGTGTGTGTGTGTGTGTGTGTGTGTGTGTGTGTGTGTGTGTGTGTGTGTGTGTGTGTGTGTGTGTGTGTGTGTGTGTGTGTGTGTGTGTGTGTGTGTGTGCGTGTGTGTGTGTGTGTGTGCATGTGTGTGTGTGTGTGTGTGCATGTGTGTGTGTGTGTGTGTGCATGTGTGTGTGTGTGTGTGCATGTGTGTGTGTGTGTGTGTGCGCGTGTGTGTGCGCGTGTGTGCGTGTATGTGTGCGCGTGCACGTGTGCGTGTGCGTGTGCGTGTGCGTGTGCATGTGCGTGTGTCTTTTAGATATTTTAAAATAGTTTTCACAAAAATGTAACCTCAGTTTCCTGACTAAAAATATTCCCATGTCTTCATGCAAGTAGATACTCCCCAGCAGTTTCATTTTTGGTGTTCAGATGTTATTATTTTGAGTACCTTTTATGTTAAACACAAAAATTGACAGTAAAATAAAATATGAGATAAAATAAACCTTTATTATATATCAAAACAAACCCTGAAAATTTATATGATAAACAGAGAAATTTACTTAAACTTCTTAATCAAACATTTTGGAAAATGTATGAAATTAAAAGTAGAAAATATATTACAGAAAAAAAAAAATCAGGAACAGAGAATAAAAAGGGGATATTAGGATTATTTGCATAAGCTAAGAAACAGCCTTTGGGTTTACCAAATATGTCCCAAAAAAAGAAATGTTCTCAAAATATTTAATTTCCAAGGCACAAATAATTATCATGTGCATGACCTAAGCTCTTCCAACACTTGTCATGCAAATTATCTATCACAATATGGCACACAAAATACAACCTTTGCGGCTTTACACTTAATTATTTTCTATCACATACGGATAATTTCAGCCTTTCATATACTTATATGAATTACATACACTTAGAGAACACCATAATCTTATAATTCACAAAAATTGTCCGGGACCATTTACATTAATGAATGTGACTATATGAGATAACCAAAATTACATTAAATGTTTCAGGGCTGACTCAACTTTTGCCTGATGTTAGCATTAAAGAATTTAATATAATCTCCAATCAATTTTACAAACACCTACTTCACCATGGGCAGTAGTAAACTTGACCATTAATACATGCAATGCTTACAAACACTAACCTCTATAATATTGGCATATTTCTTTCATATACTAAAGCATTCTGCTGACCATTTACTTAATAAACATTTGTAATGGAATAGCTTCAAGCTGGAGGGAATCCAAAACCTACACTATAAAAAGGATATTGCTCTCATGAAAATCAAGACAATAGTATAAATTCTGTAATACCTTTCAATAAAACACCATGAGAATCAATTTGTAAGAACTACCAAAACCACTATTTCCAAAAAAAAAATCTAAATAAATTTACTCAAAATCCACATGCAGCCAAGAATAAGCAATATCTTTCCCGGACTCCATATTTATATACCAGTATATACCACCATTTTTATTTTGTATTACAGAACCGATTCCAATACAATCATAACAGGCATTCAGCATCTGAATCACAAGTTCATGAAATGATAATACAATTAATATGTATTTTACAAAGACAAAACAAATTCATGCCAGTAAATTCCTTTCAAAAACTTTTCAAATATATCTATTAGCTCAAAACTTGCAAATGATCTTGGAACCTCTGTTGACTGGATGGTAAGCTAAAAAAAAAAAAAATGACTAGAGAACTTGCTTGAAAGTATATGTTACAAAGCAAGGGTTAGAAACAAGAATCTGTGTCTTGTTATCTTCGAGAGGTTCTGGTATGGTAGATAATTCCCTGTCCTTGTGACTTATGGCATTATTTTTTAAAGTGTCAGTATTTAACAAGTGTTACTTAGCACATAACCCCACAACCTTTACAAAAATTAAATACATAAATGAATTTTAAAAATATCCCAATAAATACAGTAGGCTCATACTTACAATTACAATTGCATACTATCCCAAATAATGTGAACAGATATCAAACAAAACAATTAGAATGCCATGTATGTTTCTGACAAAACTTAATTCAATGGCCGTGGGTTTATGTACTATCTACAGTAGTCTTTTGCAAATTTTGTTGTACACAAATGGCTCCATAGGTGCTCAACCACCAAGAAGTCAATTAGTAGGCCCTAGACTGACCTAATATCCCCATTTCTAGAATTTCTTGATTTCTTTTTATGCTATTAATATCAATACTGTTATTATTTTTACTGACATTATGATGATCATATGTTCTTAAAATACTAATAACAATAAAAATAGTAAACTACCATAAAAGAATCTTTTAAAAAATCATGGAAAAGTGTAAACAGGTGAGAGAGGTAGGACTACCAACAGACTCCTTGGTGACTTAGCACTTGTGGAGCCATCTCTGTGATAACACAATTAATATGCTAAAATTACAGTGGCTATGGCAAGTAATCATATCGTCTGTGTCCAATGGATTGAGAATTTAATTGGCAGGACCAACAATTTCCTATAAGTTATGATTCATCATTAGATTCAATATGTTATTTTAATGATCAAGACAGTTGCACAAAATGCTATTTAGCAATGTGAAAATACCAACTATGCTTTAAAATATACAATACATATTTTCTTTATTAGCCATACATTGAAACACAATAAAGATATCTTGCCTATTAATGAGATCATAATATGAGCAACAGGGATGACCTCTTGGTTGTAGCACTGTATTATATAAAATGTCAGCCTATGTATAAACCACTGATGTTTTTGTTGTGGATAATAAGAATAAATATCATAATAATAAATAATGAAACTAAAAAACAGTAGAGATTAGCAAAGCATGCACATACCCCCGCATACCATATATTCACTAAAAAAAAATCCCGCTGCGTTAAAAAAAAAAATTGTTACTCACTTATAATATACCTAATTAATTCCACTTTGGGAACAAAATAATTTCTCAAGCTAGTTCTTGTCTTAAAATAAATATCATAACAGGCAGACTGAGATTCATAACAGATGCCACTTAGAATAACATAATAATATAACAAGCAATTACAACAACTAAAAATATTTGAACAGCTAATAACAATAAGAATAAGAATTCTTAAGAAACAACTCATCCTTTATCTCATGATCAAACAATAAGTACACCATATTCATATATGGAGAACAAAATGTAACTTCAAAAGCATTAGCAGAGCAGAAATAAAATAATCAAGCATAACATGGAAAAACTTTTTCTAATATTAATACCAGGTTATGAAAATAATATATATATACTGCACTGAAATGTGACGGTATCTACAATTACATTCCGTCAAACAATTGTATCATTTAAGAGATTACTCAAGAATGCATACTTCAGTGAATGAGACTGTTTATATATGTGACACAGAGAAAAGGCATGGAAGATAAACAGGAATGTAAACACAAGAAAAATCAATAAAAAGTAAAGCAATGAAGGTGAATCATATGATAATAATGTGGCATACATCATGCAACTGAACATTAATAAAACAGAATACCTTTAAACTCTTTGAAAGTTTAAAAGCATAGGCCTACACATAATTTGAAATACCATGTACATATGCATATACATGCCTGCATACATACATACATATATACATTCAACCAAATCTGTATATATCTGTGTGTGTATACGTATACATATGTACATATGTACATGTGTGTGTGTGTGTGTGTGTGTGTGTGTGTGTGTGTGTGTGTGTGTGTGTGTGTGTGTGTGTGTGTGTGTGTGTGTGTGTGTGTGTGTGTGTGTGTGTGTGTGTCTATACATACATACATACATACATACATACATACATGTATATATATATATATACATATACATATAAATATACATATACATATACATATACATATACATATACATATACATATACATATACATATACATATACATATATACATATACATATATACATATACATATATACATATATACATATATACATATATACACACCCACTTACCCATGTGTATGCCCACCCACACACATGCACATGCACACACACCCATAAAAGCATACAAACACATATACACATATGTATATATGGATGAGTTTTATATAAACTGACCTTAAACCATTTTATTAAAAGATAATGAACTGCACCATGATTTGTGCGCAAAGCACCTAAATGGAACACAAGAAATCCCTAAGAGATATGAGCAGAAAGCCTACACGGCAATAATATTGCTCTTCTTAAACAATTACAACAGAATAAGGATTTAAACTTCAGTTGCTTTTCACAAGGAAATAATACATCTTACAGCTATTGTCAGCTGCTATTTGTTGTTTTAGTAAAAAATAATGATAATAAATACATAGGATATATATATAATGAAGTACAGTAGAGAAACCTGATCTAGACAAAAGATAGTAATTATAATATACAGAAGCAAATATGATGTATTATCAAAGAACAGAGTTATATAAATGAGCCATTTATTTTAAAACCAACTTAGAAAATCCTTTTTTCATATCTTGATATCAATGAATTAGCATTTTTATATAAGAACTAGCTCCAAATACATGGTTCCATCTCACTAACTGGAAAATATCAATAATATGGCTTCAAACTCATCTTTATATTTTACATGAAGGAGCAAATTATTTTGTTTTTAACTATTAAAATCAGGCTTATTCCCTCAACTGCAGCTTGCATTTTTAGGCTGCAGTTGCATACGGTCACAAATCAAAAGCTGTTTAAAAAAGTAAAACAAAGCAGCTCCACACCATATATACTAGTGTCTCATGACCAACACCATATCATGTCACCAAATATCCTCAGCAATGCCCTAAGACTTCGAGAAAAATATAACAAGATCACTTGACCATTTTCTTTATCACATAAACTATATCTAAAGCTAATGAAGAGTCTAGGTCTTCTGCTTTTCAATCACCAGTGGCACCAGGTACTTACTTTATCCATTACATTCTGTTCTGTATTTGGCATATGCTATGGATGCTAATTCCTTGGTAAATTCTTCAATCACAATTAAAGCTTCAAATTTGCGGTCATCATCATCTCTTCTGTGAGGAGTAAAAATGAAGATGTGTTAATTCTTTACTGAAAGCAATCAGTAAAACATTTATTATTAAATAAAACTGCAACCCCAATATCTCATCCATATAAATTTAAGCAGCAAAGGTATTTAGGAATCATATTCTTAACCTGTTGGATCCGGATGATCCACTGTGGCCTAAAATACAGGACTTAGGCTTACTTGAATGGCCACCTTACACCTTATACCAAATAATCAGTATAATAAAGAAATACCTTTCATAACACCAAACACAGAAAAAGGGACTTACTCAAAATCAAACTCTTCCATAGTTCCAAGGAGCTGGTACCTGGTGACCTTCAAGTGATCAACATAATCCTCACGTTCTACTATCGGCTGATGGATCTTGGATACCACAGAAGACAACACAGTGCAGGGGGTTCTCACACCTTCCGACAGTGTTACCGTCGGGTTGAGGAGGTATTCGTGAAGGTGTGGGTGTGGAAGGAGAGCTAAGGTAGCCACTAATGAGGTCACTTGGAGATTGATGTCATAGTCCTGTTAGAATACAGTGTCATAAATAACTGTTCTGGAATGGAATTGTGACCTCTTTTATCATCAACATCATAAAAATTAGTTTTTCTTTAAAAGAAGATAAAAATGTGTTCAAATATAAATATTTACAATAATAATATCAGTTAAATTCATAACCACTTTTAATTCTAGATGAAAAAATATTTTTCATACACTTTAACAGAATGGTTAAGGCTATGATATATAACATCAATATAATACCTTAAACACAAAAATATGTACTGGAGTTTGAGTATGAGTCTTCATTAATTTCAAAATATGTATCATTAATCTGTATACCATTACATTACTAATAATATCCACAACAACTTCAAATATTTAGAGAAGCTTAGATATGTAATCACTAATATGTTAACCCATTCCCAACGGGCATCTCACGTACATCCATGCATGTGTAGAGACATTTCACAAAAAATATAAAAAATGAGAACAGCATTTTTCCAGTTTTTTTTTTATTTTCCCCAGCGGCAAAGCGTTAACCCGAAATTGCCAAGTGGTGTTGTTTGAGTAATATTGTTTACAGACGGATGGCTTCACAAGCACTTACTAAGAAGTAAGTTTTCAGTCATTCCTGATTTTACCTATTTAGTATCATCATTATAACATTATCAATAATAACAACAGTAATGAAACTAAATTCTTTCAATAAAAAAAATCAAGGAAAGGGATAAATAGGTGAGTTGAGGTACACATAGTTATTGACGGTATCTCACGTAACTCTGCATTCATCTTCAAGTAAACAAAACCACACAGGACAGTGAATGGTAACTCGTGTCAACATGGTTATTAATTATATTCCTTCCAACATTTGTTTTCCAGGTGCTATGTCCGTGTGCGTGTGCGTGTGCCCGAAATCATCACTTACTTGAATGAGTATGTTGACTCAGAAATTTTAACAAACAGATTCACATAACTTATTCATAATTGAATATAAAAGGGGAAAAGTGTATCTAT